TTCTCTTAAATTATAGATGTGAGAAACTATTCTCATATTAAGTGGCACTAAATGATAATGTCTTCGGGGGTGGATCCAGGCAAGCCCCCCCCCACCCCCCAACTTTTTTTCTTTTGGTTTAGCCCACTATCTAATATGGCCAGCCCGTGTCCATAAAAAAAAAAATTGAAGAGTCCATTCCAGTTTTTGGCCCAAACAAAATGTAATAGAATCAAACCTACAGAATCAATCTTGAAATGTAAGATTGAATTCAAACCCAAACCTAATTTGTAATTTCTATTCAAAATGCCGGCCCAGCCATTTTCACGTCCATTTGCCAATACTCCATCGACGCCATTACTCAAGTCTTCGCCGGCCATATTGGCACTCTCAAACTGGCTGCTTTCTCTATCGAAAACTCTGTCATCGCCTTTTTTTTTTCCGGAGTCATGGTATACTATTTTTAGTTTTGAGTTCAATGTTAATTTTGGGTGTTTTTGCTTTTTTGTAATATCTTGACTTGACTTGACACATTATTTAATCTAAAAGTTTAAATTGTTTGAACAATTAGGAATGTGAAGTGCACTGGAAACTCTCCGCGAACAAGCTGTTTAGTGTTTGAAAATGGGGCTTTTTAGGGTTTTCGATTTACTTAGGAAATTATGAATTGGATAGCTCTTAGATTGTTGTTTTGAATTGTATTTTGTATATTCATGACTAAAATTTATTTAATTCCATTGTTCGATTAATGAAAATTACATTACTCGTGTTCTTACCGTGTTTATATATCTTTTTCTTGGTTTAATTGCTATGATGTTAAGTTCTGAATATAATTACCTTAAATAGGCTGTAAAACTATTCAACTGACTTGCACTTTTTTGTTTATGTGGTTTAGTTGTAAACAATTGAGGTTCAATAGTAAATTTGTGGCTTCATCGATTGTGATTGTTGATGTAGAAGAAGTACTTTCTAAAATCTAATGCGGAATTCTTCTTCATTGTCAACGGGGGATTTTGTCAAGTGTTAACATGATTAATTCCATAGACACGTAGGAAATCAAAAGCTTGAATACACCCCAGTAAGTCAAGTTGTTCATCTCTTTACTTATTACCTTGCCGGCAAAATATTGAATTGAAGCTTTTCGCCTACTTGTCTAAGTTGTTTTGTTGAAATGTTGCATTGTCGGTATCGTGAATTATTTTTGTTGCCTTGTCGGCTTACTAAATTATATTTTGATTGTCGTTAGAGCAATATCATTTATGATTAATTGTTTTTTCTCTCTTTTTTTCAATTTTAAGAAATTGAAAATGAAAGGTCGACCACCTCTCAAGATGAACAAGAACTTGTTTTCCTTCTTTCAAAGGGATGATCGACATACAGAAAGTACAACTTCTGATGGATTAACTCAAGATCAGCCTTCATTTCCACCAGAAATCGAACGACATTCATCTTCAAATATTAGCATTGAACGGGAACCAAGAAAAAGAAAGCAAATACTTGAATTTCCTTGTAATTTGCGAGATGAGATTAGAGTGGCATATCTAAAGGCTCGGCCTTATCAACCAAAACTTGTTGAGTATCCAAAGACACAAGGAAAATCTCAGTCTTGTCGCTTTCAGGCAAAATGGTTCAACCAGTTCCCGTGGCTAGAGTATTCACCTATAAAAGATAGGGCATATTGTTTTTATTGTTATCTTTTTTCGGAATGATGGGAATCCGTCCAATTGTTCGGTACTGGTAACTTCTGGATATAACCAATGGAAAAGGGTCAATGATGGATTGAAATGTGCGTTTCTTACGCATTTGCAATCATCGGATCATAATATGTGTGAAAGAAGAGCTAAAGATTTAATGAAGCCGTCTCAACATATTGATAAAGTGATACATATCGTATCAAATTCAGAAGTTGAAAAACGTCGTTTACGTTTAAAGACTTCAATTCGAAGTGCTCGATGGCTAGCATTTCAAAGTTGTTCCTTTAGATGCCATGATGAATCTACATCTTCATTAAATCGCGGAAATTTTCTTGAAATGATAAATTTTTTGGCAGAAACGAATACAGAGATTGATCAAGTTATTTCGAAGAATGCTCCAAAAAAATGCCCAATACATTGCTCCGAGTATTTAAAAAGAAATCTTACACAATGGCAAATAGAGTAAGAAGGATGATTCGCGAAGAAATTGGGGATTGATACTTTTGTATTCTTGTTGATGAAGCACAATATGCATCTAAGAGAGAACAAATGACCATCATTTTGAGGTTTGTGAATCGTCATGGTATTTTGATGGAACGCTAATTTGATATCAAAAGCGTCAGTGACACTACATCATCAAACCTTAAAAATGAGATTTTAAATGTTCTTGCTCAGCATGAACTTGAGGTGAGAAAAATGAGAGGCCAGGGATATGATGGTGCTAATAATATGTGGGACACTTGAAATGAAACACGTGAAGACGGATCTTCGTAACAGAATGGAAGATGACTTTCTTAATGATCGTATGACACTCTTCATTGAACAAGAACTTGCTCAAAAGATATATATAGATTCAGTTGTAGATGAATTTTATGTTTCAAAACCTCGTCGGGAACAACTTCAAATTAAATGAATTTGACTTTAATTTATATATAAATTTATTATATCGATTTTTAAATTTTAGCCCATGAGCGAAATATTCATGAATCCACCCCCTGAATGTCTCGTATCCACACATTTAAATGAAAATCATCTTCCACTTCGTTTATATAGCATTATTCGAGCATAAAGTCCCACTATGAGGCCCACACATGCAATCCCAATTCCAACTTTCAGTCCAAATCCAAGACAAGCTGGCTCATTAAACGTCTGGACTGAAGTCTGCTCTCTCAGTCGGACCAGTTTATGAGTTGGTCCAACCATGAAGACAGACTCAATCAGCCAGATTTTAAAAAGATGTGCAGAATACGTAAATTATTTTCTATGTTTCGCCAACACTTTTCACACCATGCCTCAAACTTCGAACCTATTAAATTCAAAAAAGATAAAGAAAACAAAATTGACGGGCGGATCCCAAGAATATTCGGTAGGTTAACGAATCAGTCACGCCCACAAATTTGAAAGACAATTCAAGTTCGGTCCGGTCCGGTCCATCTTTGTAGGAGGGCTGATTTAGGCCCTTACAAAAGTGAGATGAGCTACAAACGTTTGACATTTTGCCATGTTGGCGTTCTCTAACGTGTACTGGGATCTCAATCGGTTTAGTGAGAGCATACTAGAGCTATCACCAGGAAAAAATTAAAAATAAAAAAAACCTAAACCAAAAATAGGATTGAAGTTACCCAAAGGTAGGAAAAGTTCTACACTTGTACGAAGAGGGAAAAAAAAAAAAAGACGACTTTCATCAACAAACAATTGAAGCATAGCAACACACAAGCTGAAAGATCACTGCACATCCAATTTCGCCATGATCATACTATTGAACAATAACCAACAAGTGCCAAGTTTCGTTCCCAATAAATATGGGTCGACTAAGCAAGTAATTCTCCACTCCCTTTGGTTCATTGCTAGATCAACTAAAAATGTAGATTAAAAACTAAAAAACCTTTACAACTACAAAGCCATGTTGGTTTCGAGGCCCCTTCTGGCCTTTTCTGCCTAGATCACGTCACTCTCATTCTCATGAACGCAAACCTACCTGTTTAAGTTTACACAAAACATGTCCCAATCCCTAAGTCGCCCTTCCCTTAATTTATCCTCAAACTTTGTCAGAAAGCGAGCAATCCATTCAATGGAGCAGAATTTCTTCATATGGACCAAGCAGATTGCCTCGTATGCCAAGAAAGTGGCCTAGTACATATCATCCTTCAAATGAGAAAGCCCTCTATAGCATCAAACTCTTGCGCAGGTTCCTCTGCTCTATGAAAAGCCAACCCCAACGTACTATAGAACAATTATTCTTCCATATCAAGTTCCAAAAAAATACGAGAGAAATCAATTCAAAACAATGACTATCAAAGAAGTTTTCAGAAACTACAAAGTTTTCAGAAAGCAAAGAAAGTTTAACTCCGGAGCAAAATTCTAGAGAAAAAATAAGTTTGCCCATTGAAAGACCAAGTAGGAAGCTTCAGACGAACAGAGAGAACTAAATTTTAGTCTCGAGAACTTATAACATATAGCAATGTAAAGAATGTTTGTAGAAACTAAGTTTGGAAATTTCAACTGAAGTTGGAATACTGGCAATAGATCCAAGAACAAAAGCATTGATCCTCACAAGTCACAAGCAAAAGGCTAAATTTTTTGCTGAGTCAGAAATATTTGCTTCTTAGGAGAGTGTATGATACTGAGTTGCCGTGTCGTAAAATTTATTCAACTAAAATAATTTACTGAAATATTTCTTTTGAAAAAATAATATTAGCACTTTTGCTATATAACTGATGCAGGCAAAAATAACTATGTTCAACAAAATCAATAAATAAAAGATAAAATGAAGAGACTGTCGCAGTGAAATGTCATAACTTTGCCTGCACTACCAAAGTTCCTGCATTAGAAACGTGACAAGACCAAACTACAAGGTTAATTAACAATCAAGCCACAAAAATTGATTCTCTATGCAGCCAACTACGTGAACTAAGAAAATAATGTTCAGCTTCAATCACAAATCTAGTCGCATATGATGTTCAAACAAAAATTCAATAAATATCAGGAAAATCCAAGCAACAGTACAACAGGTCAGAAGCGGACCACATTTTTCAGTATTTCAATAGAGCTAAGAATTTTAAATAAAAGAAAAATGATTAAAATCATCAATCAAATGCAAAGATCAAAATAGCAGAGAATAATAGTTGATTAACACCCTTAAAATTCTGAAGGACATGGGTAGGGGTATCATCCATGGTTCTCAATCCTTTTCAAAATATGTTATTGAAACCAAAATACGACATAATTTTAAAAAATGTTAGGCAACAGAAATACTTAAATAAAAAGGAAATACACGTTTTAGATTCTGGTCTTTTGGTAAACGACTTTTTGCTACAAGGAAAGACTTCATTTGCAGAGTGCCGGAACTTCAGAAGAATCAGCAGAGTCCAAAACTAAAAGTTTTGATGCATATATGAAGAATCTGCACAATGAATACACAAAATATAAAGGAGTAATTTGGAGAAAAATAATTTTCTACATAGAAAACAGATAACTGAACTACTGAAGCTGAGATTCTTATCTTGGAAAATTTTAATTACAATATTAACATCTAACTAGGCATATTACCCTATGGAGCAACGAGACATTGAAGTAATAAGTTGTTTATATCAAAAAAATAAAAGCAGAATAAAAATACGATGCATCCAAAATTCAAACATTTTAGTGACATCAATTAGAAGCCCCACGAGTATAGAACATATACTTTAATGGCCCGCCAGCAAGACATCTCATCAGGAGAACATGTAGAGACACCAAGAACTCAAAAATGTGAACAACTACACGTCAATCATGCAATTCAACAGTAACTTGCAGGTCACAAAATTTTACTAATCACACTTACCTTAACAGAGCACCCCACAGAACAAGATCAGCAAAAAGCACAGCCTGCAAAGACATAATATAGAGTCAATACCAAAGAGACATAAAATGATGGCACATCACAAATATTACAGATACTTAAGAGACCAAAAACCATCAAATCAACAACGTAAGGACTTGTCAGCAGTCACCCAGACCCATCCCCACCCAACCCAAAGAAGCAAAAAAGAAAAAGAAACAGAGAATGCATTTCTCGCTACTACGTAGATAAAAAGATTTCATCTTCTTCTTCTATATGGTGTGTGCTTATAGTTGTTCAATTTGATTTACTAACCCTGTTGATCATCAAATTGGAGATTATGAGGTTCAAGTTATTCCTCATGAGAATTTCTTTTTCGACAACAAAGTAATATTGCATTGGTTGGTCCAGACTTATGTTCGGATCCCTCTTTTTTGCTGTGCATTGATTTTGAACACCCCACCTTACAAATGATAGTACAATCAGCACATCTGATAATTTCATTGTTTTCCCACAATAATAGTAACAAAATGATCTAATTATAAAATAGCTAGTATTGGAGCATCGTCGTTATTCACGTGTGGTCTTCCTTTTATTCATATCAAAAATCAAGGAGGAGCAAACTCCACTTCAAATAGAAGGTGCAGGGTCGTCGTTTTGAAAGAGTTCAAAACAAGAAATCTAGACAGGCAATTTATTTAGAGTAGTCATGCACCTCAATTAGACGTTTAAATTACTTCCTACAAAATAACCCACCAAGCAATATAGTAAGAATATAACTACAGTTAATTGTTCGAGCAATCTGAAATTTTCATAATATTCATCCGAACTCCACAACTGTTCATAGATACAGCAGTATCTTAGAACATAAGCACGTAATGCAGAGAAAAAAAATCCAAAAACTACTAACATAATTCTAACCATCAAGAAACTACACAATTTAAGATCCATTTTTTTCCAGCATACATATGTGCAGCATCATAGAATAGTGTATAAGGTAAAACAACTAACAATAGTAACAATATAGATTATACCTTCACAAACCTAGCGACCACGACCCATGTACGGTGCACCACCCTGTTGAGGCCTCACGCCACCTTGTCCCATCTGTTGCTGACCTCCATACCCTCCCTGCATACCAGGCTGACCTCCGTACCCGCCTGCACCACTCTGTCCTCCATAACCTGCATTGCTCATCCCCTGCATTACTCCCTGAGGATTCATACCACCAACTCCTCCAAGCAAATTCCCAATACCTAAGCCTGCACCCTGTGTCGCTAACAGAGCAGCCACCGCCTGCCCTATAGCTGCAGGCGCCACTGCAGGATTGAACCCGACAGGGACAGATGGGCCGTGGCTTGGTGCCATCAGGTGCCCACCGCCTGTACCACTGCTCCCTGCATACTTCCCCTTTTTTGCAGTATGGTGATAATAACCTTGCTGCCCCTGGTGATGGTTCTGCTGCTGATGAGAAGTATGCTGTTGGTTATAATGACCCTTACTATGCTTTGGACCATCTACTGCCTTCTGACAATGCAAGGTGTGGCCCTCAAAATTCTTGTGCGGCTCCTCCAACACTTTCTTTGCACTCTCCAGGCTCTTGTACACAAACAAACAGAACCCTCTTGGTTTCCCAGTCTGCTTATCTAACCCTAACGGCCCTTCCTCAATTTCACCGAACTTGGAAAAGAACTCCAACAATTTATTTGGATCGATTTCCGCTGAGACATTGCTAATGTATATCTTCCTCTGTGTGTACTCCGATACAGGTGGGGTGGGGACAGTTGCCACAGCTGGAGGAGGAGCAGTCTGGGCTGGGCCCGCAGAAGCTAGCTGGCAGGAAGTCATCCGAGTCCCAATCTTCTTCTGAGGCTGCGTCAAAGCTTTGCGGGCGCCATTCCGATGCTTGTACAAAATAAATCCATAACCTTTTGATTTTCCGGATGCCTTATCACTAACAACTTTACAGTCCTCGATCTCTCCGTACTTCCCAAACACAGATGTAAGGCTCTCGACATTAGCATCCCACCCGAGCCCGTGTACAAATATTTTCCTATGTGAAGGGTCGGCATCAGCCAATTTGTGCACGCTCTCGATGAAATCAGGGTATTTACTCAAAGCCTCTTTAATTAAAAGTGCTAACTGGTCTTTGGAAAAAGGTTCCAGAAGCTTCTCTATTGGCTCCTCCTCAAATTCTTCTTCCTCTTCTTCATTTTGACCTTCGCCTCCACTCTCACCGTTTGCTTGCTGTTCGCATGAAACGGCGTCGTTCGAGGGATTTTCCACATTTTCTTGTCCATTCTTCACTGGATCAGTCACCGCTTCATCATTTTTAGGCTCCTCCGCGTTTCCTGGCTGCTCTTCTTCTTCCTCTTCCTCTTCCTCTTCTTCTACTTCTATTTCTTCTACTTCTTCAACTTCGGGTTCTTCTTCTTGGGTCGGCGGGTCTTCTTCTAAGTCTGGATGTTCGATTTGGGGATCCTGTTGGACGGGTTCGGGCTGTGGAGGAGCCGCGGAGGCAGGGGCTTTTCGCTTTCTGGCCATGGAGATTTGGGAAGAAATTCAAGAAACGAAGGTTAGGGTTTCGAAGAGTCGGGACTTAAAGCAAACTGATGGGCCAATGATGATTTTTTCAGTTTTGGAGTCTAGGGTAGGAATATCTATACACGGGGGAAAAATAATAAAATAAGGAGATAATTTCATTAACGATATCAAATATTTCAAACTTTTGCAACTTTAATCCTATTTTGTTGCACTCACGACCCCCAAATCTTTTATTTCTGTGCAGCTGAAGGACAGTTTTCATCCATATATCCAAGAAGGATTAACCTATTTGTACGAGAATAATGCTACATAATGTCACTGGAATTATAATCTCAATTTAAGCGACGCTAGATGATAGGTTAAATAAAATGCGGCATTACTCTTTGTACAATTATTGTTAACAATTGTGAATGACAATGTTAATGTTGCCAAAATTTGGAATATTAATTTAGAAAAAAAATATAAAACGGATGAATGTGGTATTGCCAAGTGTGAGTTATCAATCAAAAGTGTAAAAAAACCAAATCAAACCAACCTACTAATTGTCGCCTACCGTAGCCTACCACCATGGTTCTAGCCAAGGCAAAGACACCTTCAATTTGCAAATAACATCATCCACAACCCCAAGATTCATCCGTTGAAACTGATCTTCGACTCCCAACTTTTGATTTCCCTAAATGGGCACTCTTATGAGCTCCACCAAAACTTGTCGCCTAACTCTGCAAGCTGCCTCCCATGACAATATGCAATTCAAATCACCCCCAATAAAAGCCAGCCCTCGTAGGGTTTCAAATATCCCATTTCCACCCTCTCGAAATCTCTCCGATTAAAATTTAAAAAAAATTGGAGATCTCTTCATCGATGATCCAATTGCTAACGAACAAAAATTTATTGCCAATTTATTGCAAATTACCTCGGCTGATATAAGAAAAATAACATATACCTTGAATGGAAAAAGATATCACAAAGAAGAAAATTAATAGCGATTTGATTGAAGAAGCAATCATGCCCTGAATTTGATATATTGTTTTTTGGTTTTGATTTTGGTGAAGAATATATGCCCCTATCCGTGGGCAAGTAAAGCAATCCTATATAGGGCTGTCAATAGATTGAATTTTGATTTGAATTCGATGAAATTAATGGAATATGAATTAATGGTCTTCATTGACCGCAAAAAATGTTGTCAACAGATGTCGGGCCTACTCTTGCCACGTCAAGCAATAATCCGGCACGTTTCTACCGGAACAGGAGCGGTAGCGTAGTTGGAAAGGGCGCGGGAGTTGCTTTCCGGCAAGAGACATATCTGTTCATGCTCCGGCAATTTTCTTTAAGTAGCCCTTGCACTATCAACAAGGGCCGGATCGATTTTCTTCAAACGAGTATCTGTTTTGTTATGGAATATGTGGAATTATAGATAAGATAAAAATGGTATTTTATGTTGGAATCTCGATATCATTTGCTATTGTGTTTGCAAAATATGTGAAGAACTGAATATGTAAATCTTCTCCAATCTATATTTGTTACAAGAATCAAAGTGCTTTTTTTTCGTTCCCTTACCAAGATCCAAAAAAAACCCCCTTATTCTATTCAAAGGAAGACTATTTATACTGTCCAAACGACATATTGATTGTTGGATTAGATCCACGCTGCAACATCTTCTGAACTGAACCTTCACATCACATTTAATATCTAATAGAAGTCAGCCGCACTAGAAGTATACGTTGGCTTATGGGTGTCAACGGATCTTGTGGTAGCCTCGGATCGAATCGTGCCTTGAGGGCATGTGTCAATCCGAGGCTAGTTAAATGAGGGTCTTTCACCCGAAGCTCCCTGGACCGAAGCCTATGCTCTCTCTCTGGGACCCTTTATATCAAGCGTGTGGCATGTAACTTCGGCCTAACGCCTCACTGGGATCTTTTGACCTACTGGGCCCCATTTTGACTTATCGTTAATCGTCCTGCCTGCGTAGCCTCGAGTCTTTAGACCTCTGAATCGAGGGGTAACAGTCTCAATCCGATAACACGATCAAAATTCTAATCCGAATCCGATAATCCGTTAACTAAATGGATCAAATATGGATATAGGTCAATTCGATCTGATTTGTTATAAATAATTGAGTTGACAAAATATTTTTATGACATATTATTTGTGATTAAAATAAATAATTTTAAAAAAAATCATCAAATTCAAAATATAAAAAGTTGAAAAATTTATAATTATTAAACTTGTTTAAGAATTGAAAATTTTGAAGAAAAAATGTTGATTCCAACATTATTTTTTTTCCTAATTTCTTTAATTTCGAATCGGATTATCGGATTGGATATCCAATAACATAACAAAACGGATATGAATTTAACAATCAAATATCCGCTGGATTATTGGATTAAATCGGACCGAATAATTATTTTTATTGGATCGGATCCGATATAGGCATATCCGATATGTTTACAACCCCGCGCCTATAACATTTTAAATCATTTTTGAGAAAAATTTTGTTGGGAAAATTGACTTGCAAGAACAAACATTTTATGTGCATATAATCGAACATAATTTCGACTTGTCGAAATCAAATATATAAAGTAGAAACAAGAAATGAATGATTTAAATTCGATCGAGACAAGAGTTTGATTATTTTTCCTTAAGACAATAATGTTCCACACTGGTGCTAAAGTTTTTCTAGCATTAGTCTCACAAGATAAAATGATCATGTCCAATAATTGGATCATTTCAAATTACGTAGACCAACGAACTTACCGATGTTTTGAACTTTCTTTTTTTAGGAAATTCGACTCGAAATAAGTGCAAAAATTATTTTGAAATGAATGTGCATCAACATGATAATGCAATGATGTATTTAATAAATTAAAATTCCATACACTAGAGTCTATACATAATTGTTGAAAAGCCGTATCTCAAAAAACACAATCCTACGAAAAGACACCACTATTGAATTCTTTCTATGTGACAAAACACACCTATCGAAAAAACAATTCCAAAGTTACGATCTTTCATATGGAGAAACACATCTTTTCAGTCGAACATATTCTAGAATATTTCATAATGTTATACTTAGGGTGTGTTTGATCCACATTATTTTGAAAGAATGTATTCTGAAATAGTAGATTAATAGAAAATTTGTGGTTGAAAAAGAAGGAAAAATTATTCATGCGATGGAAAATATTATTTTATTGAAAAATGTGTGATTGAAAATGAGTAAAAGAATGAGAATGAAAATTTTAATGTGTACCAAACATGGGCTTAATTTGTCAACAATATCACGTATTTAAGCAGCTTAATTTTGACTTAGTTTTTCATTCATCGGTTAACAATTTTCACTTAAATAATCAGATAAAAATTGGTCAAAATCAATGTTTTATGCAAAATCTCAACAAAATTGTCTAGGATAATTAGCATAAAAAGTCCCCATCATTTGCACACATTGAGCAAATCGTCCTCATCATTTCAAATTTGACAATTGCACCATCATATAAACATTTTTCTTGCGGAGCTGGTCTTTTTTTACTTCATTTTGTCAATTTCTTTCATTAATAATGGATAATTGATACAAAAACGATCGTATCATTTACCTTCATTGCACAAAAGATCCATGTTGTTTGCATTTATCTTGCTAAAGGTCAATGTCATCTATTTTTCTCTATTAAAGCATTATAAAATTACTAATTTACCCTCATATAAACAAATAGAAAAGAGAAGCAATGATATTAAAAATAAAATAATTGCAATTAGAGTTCTAAATTTTTTGGAATTAAAGTTTTCTTTCCTTTTTTTTCTTCACAAATATTGGAGTCATGATTAAAAATTATTATTTTTTACTGGTTATATTTGTTTCTATGTTTTTTTCTTTTTTTCCACCTCTCTCTTATTTTCTATGAAAAAATTAAATTGTAACTAAAGATCCATATAACATTTTTTTTCCTTTTTCATCCATTTTTTTTTTATGAAAAAGATCTATTTTTAGTTAAATTATAAAATTTTATGTAAAAAATAATTTATAATTTAATTCAATATATTGATTTCTTGTTTACTCTTTAAAAGCGTATCATATTGATAATACTGAATACTAAATTTATGTATTTATATATTATTTAATTAATTAAGGTATCTAAAATTTTTATTCTTCACACATATATTTTATTATCCGGGGAAGGGAAAGATAATTGTGGAAACTACCACTTCGTATGTAAGAATTTCACACTGTTGCACTAAACATACGTAAATTTTACTTTAAATGAAAGTTTTCAAAAGTTTATAAAAATTTCAAGAAATGAAAGTTCATAGAATTCCAAGAAAGACTTTCATTAATTCCACACGTATCTATAAAAAGTCTACGAAATTCATAGAAGACATCACTTAATTATTTTTTTTTGAAAAATCCCAATTGAATACACGTTTTAAGTGTTTGTGTGACATTACTTTTGAGAAGATGAAGGAGCTTTCGGATCTTCTCAAAATTCATAACAAACGGGACCCTGGGCCCTACGTCCACATTTCAAATTAAAACGACAAGAAGTACTAAGAAAATAAGAAGAAAACTTATTTAGAGATTGTTTGAGAGGGATTTTTGGGGGAAGAATTGATTTTGAATAGTGATATAATGGGAAGTGTATGGTTGAAAAAGAAGAGAAAATTATTGATGTGATGGAAAATATTATTTTATTGAAAAATGTGTGGTTGAAAATGAGAATTGATTTACTGTAGAAAAATCTAAATCCCTCCCAAACAGGGTCTTATTCTCATGCCATATTCGATTTTGNAAACAGGGTCTTATTCTCATGCCATATTCGATTTTGTAGACATACACTATTAATTTATTTTTTATTATAGCGTTGCTGAGTGATATCCCATCTCCAATTCTCCATCAATCAATTTGAAATAAAAAGTCAAGATAGTTAAACATTAAATTAATATCCCCCGGCATAATGTATTTAGGAATAATGATTTTTTGGAAGATGTATAGTTAAAAAATAAGAAATTTTTTGACTCTAAGTGTAAAATTATTTTGTGAAAAAAAAATGTGTAATTAAAAATAAGTTTTTGAAAAAAATGAAGGCCAAACATCAATTCCAACATAGCTTTTTTTACAATTAAAAGGTGCACGACACTTGACACTTCAAAACATTTTTCACACAAGATTTAAGAGCAATTTGCTCAGTTGACCCGCTCCACCTTTTATTTTAGTAGATAATTTGGATAATTAGTACGAAACATTACTATCATTTGTATTCATTGCACACATTGTCCATATCGTTTCAAATTCGATATTTACATCTTCATTTCAACATTTTCTTACGGAGTTGGTCATTTCTGTCTCATTCCATCAAATATGGATAATTTGTGCAAAACTTTTCCATTGTTTAATTTCAGTGTGCAAAATGTCCATATCATTTTATTTCATTGCATAAAAGGGCAGTAACGTCTATTTTCTCTATTGATGCATTGTAAAATTATTAATTGACATTACTTTTTAAATAAACAAATAAAGAATGTAAAAATAAATAAATAATTGCATTCGAAATTCTAAAATTTTCAAAAGCTTAAAATAATTTAAAATATGTTAAAAAAAATATCGTCGAAAAAAATATTTCCTTTTAGCTAGGTTTAAATTAGAACACTTACTATTGATGTTTGGATTAAGATATTCAATGAATCCTCTAATGTAAGAAGAAATTATATATTAAAAAAAAGAGCAAAATTTAAAAGTTAATGCAGTGTGTGTGTGTATATATATATATATATTTCTATATATAAAAAGTGCATATTTAACGGAATTTGTTGGTTTAACGGAAAAACTAACGGAATTTGTTGTTTTAACGGATTATGTAACAGAATTTCTTATTTTAAACAGGCAGCTGCACCTTTTTTCA